ATGAGAGAAGAAAAGTTGAAAGAGCTCAAGTTAGGAGTGAAAAAGCAACAGTCCATGTTTAGTAAAGTATTGCAAGAAAGTGAAGCGGCGGTACATGCAAGCTACGTCTTGTCCGAGTTGATAGCTAAACATTCGAAGCCTTTTACTGACGGTGATTTCATCAAGGAATGCCTAATGAAAGCTGGAGAAATTGTTTGTCCTGGAAATGTGAAGGCTTTTCAATCAATTTCATTGTCTCGAAATACAGTTGCGGAAAGAGTTACTGATTTAGCCGCGAATTTAAGTGATCAGATCAAAGCAAAATCATCTAGTTTCGAAAGTTTCTCCATTGCCTGTGACGAGAGCACGGACATTAGTGGCAAAGCTCAATTAGCAGTTAGCACAGTTCTTCGTTCTTGTGACAAGAATTTTAACATTTTTGAGGAATTACTGGAACTAATACCGATGCCTGGTACTACCACAGGAGAAGATATATTTACTTGTGTTTTTGGACTTCTGCAGAAATACAATCTACCTTTGGCAAAATTAAATTCTGTAGCTACAGATGGCGCTCCATCAATGACCGGGAAAAACAAAGGGCTTCGTAGCATTACTAAGAAAAAAACTTAGTGAAATTCACGGTTCAAACATTCATCATATGCATTGTATTATACATCAAGAAGTTCTATGCACGAAAGTAATAAATATGGAGAATGTTTTGTCATATATAAAAAAAGTTATAAATTTTATAAGATCTCGAGTTTTCGTTTAAATCAGCGTCAATTCACTGCTTTCTTAAGTGAGTTAGATATGAATATTCGGGTTTGTCCTACTATACCGAGGTACGTTGGTTATCTTGCTCCAAGATTCTCAAACAATTCTGGGATTTGAAAGAAGAAATATGTCAGTTTTTAAAAACGAAAAATCAAGACGTAAGTTTTACGATCCAATATGGATACAAGATTTATCTTTCTTGGTTGATATAACCAAACACTTAACCGATTTAAATTTATCGTTACAAGGAAAAGATCATATCATTACGAACATGTTTGACATAATTAAAGCATTCAAATGTCAACTAGTTCTTTGGGGAAAAACAAACTTAAAAATGAAGATTTGACGCACTTCCCGACGTGCAGCATGAACAAATCAAGTTTAGATGATACTTGTTCGTATCAAAAATACGCAGAAAAAAATTGCAAATTTAAATAACAACTGAATTTGAAACGAGGTTTAATGATTTTAGTTCCCTCGAAGACAAATTTTTTTTTTTTTTTTTTTTTTTTTTCTTCGATTTTCTCAATAAGTATTGACTCAGTACCCAGCCATATGCAAATGGAGGTGATCGAGATTCAATGCAACTCAAATTTGAAAGCAAAATTCATTGAAGTGCGTGCCTGAATTTTACAAATATTACCAGCCAGGTTTGAAAATACTCGAAAAATTTGCATATGAAATTATTTCCATGTTTGGTAGCACTTATCGGTGCGAGCAGTTATTTTCAGTCATGAAAGGTAATAAGTCTCTATTAGAAACCGTATTAATGATGCTCACCTTGGGTCAGCGTTGAAAGTTATCACTGCAAACAAAATTTCTCCCGAAATAGGAAAGATAATAGCAGAGAAGAGATGTCAAGTACCAGGACGTAAACATTAAATTTTTCTTGTTCCTTTCTATATAAATATATATATATGTTTATTATTGTATTATTCGAAATAAATCTACGTTTCTATGAATATTGATTTTTTTTCGGCCTACCTAAAGTTAAACCTTGTTTGTTTGGCCCAAGTGTACCTATGAGTTTGACATCCCTGCCATAAAGGGTTCTAGTGTAGAAAAGGGTGCCCTTTGTTTTGACACCAAATACCAATGCTGATACTGCTTTTCTAGTAAACCAGAATCAACTCTGTTTACCCTATGTAATGGTAGCCATTTTTTGGTAATGTGGCAATGTTTTTCTTAAATTAAATCTGACTGTAACTTTTTAACTTAGATATTGAGGACTATGTGATTTGCAGGATATCCATCATACGTTTTCGACATTGCTTTAGGAAACATTCATCTTTAAAACATTACAATTTGGTGTCATTCTTGACATCATAAAGATTGCCAAAAATATCAAGGGAAACTCTATTGTAAATTTTTACCTCATAAAGAAAACTTTCCTTCATTTTTTTCTAAATAAGTTTGAAATTTGAATGGAACTTTATGCGGACTGTTGTCCGGAATTAAAAAATTAACATAAATATCAACATTTGTAAACAATTGCCTTATTTTTTTTTTAATCTGAGACAAAGTGTAAAAATTAGAATGAATGCAGATTGCCTACATTTTCTTTCTTTATTTATTTACTTGACACAAAAGAAAAATAACTTTCCTTTATAATTTTTTTAGCAGAATAATTTATAAGAACATATTATTTTGTAAAAAGTACACAATATAATTTATATGAATTAAGAGTTCAATAAATAACAAATTACAGGAAAAAGAATAAAAAATGTTAACCAACAATGTATTAAAAGTCAAACATATTCTTTTAGATAAATATTTTTAACACCACAATTCTTAAGATTCTTTAGTGATACAAAAATAATTGTGTTTCTTCACAATTATTTTTGGTACTCTCGATATATCCGCACCCCTGATTTCAACATGTTGTAAAACTGCCATTTTTTAGCATATTATCAAGTATACAAGTGATAATAGCCAACTCATACACATGCATGATAAACACATATATTCGCATTGGCTCACTTTCGCATTGGCTGTTTGGGTGCACGTAGATTTATATGGATTGTAAAGTACGTATTGGCCACATAGGTCTTTCCTCCACGCCTCATAAAATTTCTTATTTCTCAAAAAATGCTTTCTTGTATTACTATTCATGAATAGCTATAAGCTGTGAAGATAGCCAGACAAGAGTTTTTTTGACAACTTTTGTGGGGGTACCAAAAGTGACTTAATTTGCTTGTTTTTACACTCTTTATGTATCATATACATTTATAATTAACTAAAGAAAGTTTAAAAAGAGAAATGGATAAAGATACACAGATAAAAAAATCACCCTTTACACTGAAAAATATTGTATAGTTCTGCACTATAGTGCACTATAGGTGTGCACTATAGTGTTTAGCATACTACCAAATACAAGTAATATAAATAAGCACAAATTACAAAATTTCATAAACTAGTTTATAGGCATATTTTTTTTTATTTATTAACTGGGTTATAAGTAAAAAACATTTTATTTTTAATTTAAAGCAGTTCTTAACTACATTACCTTTCTGCTATTGTGTTCAAATGCTCATCATTCACAGCTCTCCTTATCTCTGCTCTATGCCTTTCTATAGATATGCTTTGTAAAAAAAAAAAAAAAAAAAAAAAAAAAATAAAAAATATCTGAAGTTCATTAATTTAATAATTTATTCATTTTTTAAATATAATTTTTGTTATTTATTTAATAACAAATAATTATTAATTTTGGAATATATTTATTTAATAACAAATAATTATATTCCAAAATTTTAAAAACTTGATTCTGAAAGATTCAAAATACACCAAAGCATTTGGATCAGAAATAAATAAATAGACAGATAAAATTATTTGGTACTTATATACAAGGGCGAGTCAAATGAAAGTGAGCCAATGCGAATATATGACAAACAGAGTACTTTATTTAAAGGCAGTCTCCATGAACACTGAGACATTTATCCCATTGACAAATGAGCCGCATGATCCCCGTCTCATAAAACTCTTTGGGCTGTCGATTCAAAAAGTCTGTAACCGACTCCTTCACGGCGGCGTCCGACACGAATCTGGTACCCTTGAGCAGTTTCCCGAAAATGTGAAAGTCGCATGGCGACTAATCTGGGCTGTATGGAGGATGTTGCAGCGTGTCCCACTTGAACTTTGCCAGTTGTGTCTTAACCACATCAACGACGTGGGGACGAGCATTGTTGTGTAGCAAGATCACACCATTCGTCAATCTTCCAGGTCGTTTGTTCTTGATTGCGACACGCAGCTGATCCAGCGTTGACAATATCGCGAACTATTGATAGTCTCTCCACGTTTAGCAAATTCAATCAGTAATGGCCCCTGACGATCAAAAAAAAAAAAGTTCAATAGCACCTTTCCCGAGGAAATGACAGCCTTTGCTTTCTTCGTGGGTGGTGAATTCAAATGTTTCACTGTAAGCTTTGCCAGCGTGTTTCAGGTTCGTAGTGGGCACCATGATTCGTCTCCGGGCACAATTGCAGACAAGAGATGTCACCCCTCATTGTGTGATACCGGATGAGATGATAGTCAAAGCGCACCGAACCTCTCTGTCTTCTGGCGGTCGTTCAAAAATTGGGCATCCATTGAGCACACAAAAGCCGATAACCGAGATGATCATGAATTATGATGTGAACCGAACCGTGACTGATGTTCACACGCTCTGCCAGTTTATCGATGCTTATCCTCCGTTCTTGTCTAATCAGCTCATCAACCTGTGCAAATTGTGTCGGGCTGATTGCAAAGGTGGCTTTGGCCCGGTCTTGGATCGTCTTTGCAAACTTTAACGTCCTTCTCTGAACCGTTTGCTCCAATGCTTCACAGTGGCCAATGGGATGCAATGTTCACCGTACACAGCAGTCATACGGCGACTAATTTCATGTTGGGAAACACCTTCAGCTTGTCAAAAACCTGACCCACCGTGCTGTCCTCTTTTGGAGCGTCCATTATGTCACGCTACCGTCTTCAACCAGTGTAAGAGCGCTTAAAGAAACTTTAAACCTCCACTTTGCGCCACTTCGTAAATGAAGGCGTCTCTGTGCTACGCGCATGCGCCACAAATGATGGACCGAACCATTCTTGCTGAGGAGGGGTTGGCTCACTTTCATTTGACTCGCCCTTATATTAGTGCAATCTTGGTGCAGTTTGGCACTTTTTTACAGAAAAGAATAACTGATGACAGCAACAAATTATTTTATAACATGCATTCCATTTTATGTTGTAATTAAGTATTTATTCTAAAATCAATTTTATTTCCTTAAAGTGGATCGGTTTTATTCATTTTATTTTATTTTTTTTTTTATTTTTTTTTTATTTTTTTTTATTTTTTATTATTATATTATTATTTATTTTTATTTTTTTGGTCTTGGTAGAAATTTTGTGGCAATCATTTTAAGAACATATTCAAAGCAATTTTTCCTTTTGCAAATTTAAGGCAAAATACTGGAGAAATTTTACTACAATTTCATCTACTGCAAGGGAACTTGAAATCCAGCATAAAAGCCTTGTAAGACGATGATGTTTGTTAAACTGAAGAATTATTATGTGCTTTGTTTTCAAAGTTTGGTGCATTTTGAAGATTTGGCAGTTTCTACTAATGTTAACATGCAAGTACCAAATATCTTTCTATTTTCAATATTTCATATCAAAATTGGAAAAGTGACACAAAATTTTAAATTAGATTTTAAAAAAAAAAGGTACTTTGGTATAATAACCACCTTAGTGCAATTTGGCGATTTTTTTAAAAGAAAAAGAATGCTAATTTCAAATCAGAAAACGTTATTTATTTCATGTCATACATGTTATTAGGTACAAATTTTAATTCAATATGACAGCTTTAAAACAATTCATAAAACTAGCTGCAAATGGTATCTCCCACATATTTCTTCCAATCTACCAAAATCTTACTGGTCTTCTAACTCTTCTAAGCAAAATTTAACATTTGTTATTTCTTTATTCCAGCAGTAAATAAATCTGACTACTGTAGTAAATGGCAGCTTATTTTCAAATCAATTACTGCTTTGAATATTGATGTGTTTGTTACACCTTTTTCAAGCTGCATTTCCAAAATATAAAATCATGAAATGTGAATCTGTATATTCCTGCCCTTGCAGCAAATATTATATTCTTTCACAGAAGTTACTTTCTTTGCTGGCAAATCCAAAAGTGCAGATTTCAAAATTCAGCTGAAGACCAAAAATATGGCAATTTGCCTTTACAGTTTCCAATGCAATCAACACAACATGTATGAAAATGGCAGCATTGCTTTATCAAACTTACAGTTATTGATTTCGTTACTTGTAAAACTGTTATGGGCATGATTGCCACAGTTTGGCAACTTCTACCAGAATGATTGCAATAATACCAAAATATCCCCCCCCCAAAAAAAAAAAATTAAGTAACCTAACACTCAAAATCTATACCAAACTAACATTGCTTTTTTGCCTAGTTTTAATTTTTGTTATTACAATTAAATCCTACTTCTCTGATGATGAATTTTATTACATTTATGTAAACTCTATGGCTTAGAGAAAATTCAGCTTTGATAGCACAAATGCAGCTTACAAAAAATACTAGCACAGATATTTTGGGAGGAAAAAAGTACTATCTGATTATTTACACCCAGGGGTTAAACTGTCAACAATGAACAAACAAGGCCTTCTATCCGCTATGAGCAATGTCACCAGCAAAGGAACTAGTAGACATAACAAACTTGTGGTACCACATGCTTTTAGATGTAGCATGATATTTGCATACTGCATAGATATTTGTAAAGGATTGAAAATTATTTTATTCAGTAGTTACTGATAATCTGCTAACGAATGGTATATACTTGCTGTGTACCTCATTGCAAAGAAAATTACTCCAATGCTGAAAAAATGGACTTGTTTTTATTTCCAAAACTGGATTTTTATGTACAAGAAATGGTTACGTACCATTCACCGGCAAAATTTGAATCTATCAAAATATTCATATATATGCAGACCTTTTGTATAAAAATGCCAGTTTCATATTCATCATAGTTTCTTTAATTGAAGAAGATACTTTAATAAATATTCTAATTGGTGTATTTTAGACATGTATGTATTTCTTAATCCAAAAGTTAGGCCTTATTTCATGTTTAATGTAATTAAACTTCTATAAGATTTTGAATAAATAAAATCAGAACTGAATTATGCTAATGCAGATGCTAACAAATAACACTGCAGTTAGTCATTAATGCAAAAGTATTTAATTAAATCTGTACAAAATATACTGACATATCAATTAAAGCATAACATTTAAACCAATATATACTAGAAAGACTCGTAAATTTTTCCTGAATATTCACAAGCTTTTCAGAATATCAGGATAAGTTTATATCCTGGAATTCAGCAAGCTACATAGCATTTTCCAGTTCCATAAATTTATTCCTGAATGGAAACCTAACACCTTGCATGGAAACTTTATTTTCATTTTGCACTGAATAGAATTGTAAGATTTCCTAGTGAATCTACAGTGGTAGTCAATACAGAATTGTTTTCCTTCTCAGTTTGAAAAAAATATTGTTCTGAACCGGACATTTCAAGAGTAACTGAGCATTTTGATAAGAAAAAAGGAACTTCATAAAACTACATTTGGTTCACCCAACGATTTGAAAGGATATTTTACTTGAAAGGATATTTTACTTTCACAACTGCCTGACTGCCCAGAAATTTATCATGTTCCTAGAGTAAATGTTAATAAGAGTGGAGACAAAATTGGTTTGGTTTATTAGATTATGGCAAAGCAAACTAGGGCTATCTGCCTAATAGGATGGATGCCTTTATGGAGGACTTTCCAAGGGAAGCTGGCTCTATACATATTACATAAGGAAAACGACAGTAAAATGACTGAATGTGGTAAGATTAATTGAAGTTTCTGTACGATTTGGAAAGAAACGAGAAAAAAGGCATTTCCTGACTGGTGCATAAATGAAGGTTTACTTAGTAGCCATTATTAAGTGTCCTGTTTGTAGGAAGGAAATGCGTATGGTCTAATAATACGGCGCTATGGAGGATATTTTTTACTCTTATTTTGTGAATTTATGTGCCGCCGCCAGTATACAGATTCTAGTTCAGATACTTTTAGGAAGATTTTGGATGCTGTTAAGCAAATTTGTTTGACTGAAGACATGTTAATTCGTAAAATAAGGTAAGTGGATATTTCCTTCGTGTAGTGCAAAGAAGAATTTCCTTTTTTATGTTATTTCATTGTTTGATTTAAAATGATTGAGATTATATATTTTTTTGTTGGCTGCTCCTTTGACTTTTTAAGTAAATATACGAGGGCCATCCAGGAAGTAGATTACGTTTCCGTCTGTGTCCGCTAGGGGCGGGGCTAGCGCGGCCATCTTGGGGTCAGAGCGTTGCGCAGCTCAGTCTGCATCTAGCCGTGCTAGTGAGAGGTTCGTGCTGTGCTCCGTTCAGATACTGTGACGGTTTGAAATGTCTGCGTTAATTGAAAATCCCGCGAGCTGCGAGGTGCGCTCAGTAATAAGGTTTCTGACTGCAAAAAACTGTAAACCGATAGAAATCTATCGGCAGCTTCGTGAAGTGTATGGGG